CAACTAGGGCTATGCAAAGGCACCCTGTCTCAAAAAAAAAAAAAAAAAAGGGGGGGTGTGGAGAAAAGGATGGACAAAAGGGTGGAACATGGGAGCCACACACAGAAGCAAGTATCTTCTTCAGAAGTATCTAAGTAACAAGGAGTAATTTGGAGACACATTTCCACTTCTGCCCATGAATCTTACTTACAGAGTGACTGACTGGCCTCCAGGAGTTGGCCCATCAGGTAAATACAAAATATCAACTACTTTATAATAACAGCTGCTTTGGTGCCATGAGATACTGACCCTACTCAGTCTCCTTAGATGGCTTCCCTTTTGTGTGTGCAGCAGCCATACTCCAGTAAGGCAGGTCTTATATATGCACTAAAGTTTTTGGTGGGGAAGGGATGGACAGAGGCTCATGTGTGCTAGGCAAGCACTCTACCCACAGAGCTACATTCCCAGATCCCCTCAGAGCTTCTGAAGAAGTTATTTCTGAAGTAGAAAGGGCTGTCTACACAGGTACAGAAGCCAGGGAGGGTATGCAGGTACACGTGTGTGAATGTGAATACACACGCATATGGTGGCCAGAGGGCTACCTTTGGTGCCATCTCCCACAGACACTTACTTGAGACAAGGGCTTTTATTGGCCTCTAACTAGCAAGTACACTCAGTTTCACCTCCTCCAGGAAACCCCAGAGAGCCTGCCTCTCTGCCTCCCTAACACTCCCAGCCAATAGGCTTTCTCTGTGTAGCCATGGCTGTTTCAGAACTTGCTTTGTAGACCAGGATAACCTAGAACTCAAAATCAGCCTGCCTCTTCCTCCCAAGTGCTGGGATTAAAGAAATAGGCCATCACACCTGGCATCTTGCACTTTTGCCTATGAGTGTTTGTTTTCATGAATTTATGTGTACCACATGCATGCCTGGTACCCACAGAGGTCAGAAAAGGGCCCTGACCTGGAACGATGGTCCATTACAAGAGCAGTAGTGCTTTTAATTACTGAGCATTGCTCCAGACCCCTAGCATCTTTTTTTTTAAAACTTGGGTTCTGGGGCCTGAACTCAGGTCTGAGCTGTCTCTACCTCCCATTGTTTTTAACATAGGGTCTCACTGTAGTTGAGCTTGGTGTCCAACATGAGAATCCACCTACCCCAGCCTCCTGAGTATAAGGGTTACAGGCAGGAGCCACCACACCCAGCTATTCCCAACTATTTAAAATCAAGGAAGGGAAAAAGCTCATGTGTCATCCTTATGCACAGTTAAGCCTTCATCTATAATGAGTAATAAGTTTCTGCACCTGGTATAGCACTGCCAAAGGTTTAGCTAGATGGCTTCACAATAGAGGATGGATCACAGGAGTCTAGGGTCCTCCTTCTTGACAAAAGAACCACAGAGATAATCCGAAGCCCCCCCTCAGCTCCTATGACTATTTAACCTGACTCCTACCAATTAAATGTTATCATTTCCTAACTCATTCCTACTCCCACTCTCCATTCCTGTGCATGCTAAACAAGTTCTCTCCCACTGAATTAAAGCCCCATTTTTTTTCTTTTTTGGCTTTTCAAGACAGGGTTACTCTGTGTAACAGCCCTAGCTATCCTGGAAGTCGTTCTGTATACTAGGCTGGCCTCGAATTCAGAGATCTGCCTGCCTCTGACTCCCAAGTACTGAGATTAAAGGTTTCCTTTCTTTTTTTGAGATAGTCTTAATGTGTAGCCGAGGTTAGTCTCCCAATTTGTGGTAATCCTCCTGCCTCTGCCTCTCAAGTGCTAGGATTAGCATGAGCCTACAATACAAGGCTCTTCATCTTTTCTTGATCAGGGTAAAGTGAACATGACAAATGAAACTTTGGGATGAACAGTGCACTGATGCTTCAGTTAGAAGTACTTAAACCAGGTGTTTAACTACTGGGCTGACACCTGTAGCCTTACCTAAGGCAAGTGGGCTGCTATGAATTTAAGGCTACTGAAGTCTATGACGTGAGTTCTAGGTCATCCTGGACTACAGAGCAAGGCCATGTCTCAAAAAAACAAAAACAAAAAAACAAAGATGCAGTTCACATTTTGAATTAAGGGCTCTAATGGGGCTGGGGATAAAGCTCAGTTGAGAGTATGCCTAGAGTGCACAAAGCTCTGGGGTCAATCCAGTGCCATCTAAATGGTACAGGATGGTGCACTCCTCTAATTTCAGCACTCAGCACAGGCAGGACCACCAGGAGTTCAAAGGTCATGGTTGGCTACTGAGCTCAAGGCCAAAAAGAGCTACAGGAGACCCTGTCTTTAATTAATCAATCTTAGTCACGAATAAATGCAGTGCTATACACCTGAGAACACTTGAGGGGCTCAAGCAGATAGCTCCTGGCCAACTTGGGCTAAACAGAGACCCTGTTTCAAAATGGCAAGCAAACAACAATAACAACAAAAACCTAAACACCCATTAGGAGACCAGAAAGATGGCTCATTGTGTAAAGGCACTTGCTGCCAAACCTCACAACAGGAATTCCCTCCCTGGGAAGCCAGGTGATGGAGGAACAGACTTTCACAGATTCTGACCTCCACTTGTGCAATGTACGCACACAAACAAAGCAAGTAAATAATATTGGGTGTGGCACTACATGCCTATAATCCAAGAACTTGGGAAGTGGAGGAAGGAAGTTCAAGGCCAGCCTAAACTATACTACAAGGAGTTCAGGGTCAGTCTAGGCTATCTGAAACCGATTCAAAAGTACAAGCAGAAAATCAAGCTGGTATAGTAGCTCACACCTGCTGCAATTCTAGGTTGAGACAGAAGGATTATCCTGAATTTGAGTCCAGCCTGGGCTAGAGTTAAGACATCTCAAAAAACCAAAAGAATCCTAGTCAATGGTGATCAGGTGGGCTTGTATTTGTTTGTAGGGTTTTAAGATTTTCTTTTCAAAGCATCCGAGGGATGCTGGCAGAAATTACAACTACGAAGTCATCACATAACTTAAAATTATTTTATTTTGAAATGAGTCTCACTATGTAGCTTTGGCTGGCCCGGAACTCTCTATGTAGACCAGGCTGGCCTCGAATTCTTAAGAGACCCACCACATCCAGCTAGAAGGACTTTTATTAATACAAGGAGCAGTCCGTCAACGCTGAAGAAACTTTCATGGGTCCTACAGTTAAAGCAAAGGCCTAGGAATTAGACCATCTATAACTAGCAGTAAAATTCATTACAAGGTACCCACAGATACCTATGGCTAGTTAACGACCTACTCCAGAGCCTATCTGGACACCATTTTAACTGACAGCTGAGCTACAAAGGTATCATTTGAAGGTGTAGCCTGGAAGTCTCTAGGGAACAAGATGTTTAATCTGCAATTCAGTAAAAGAATATCACGTCAAACACCAGCCTTTTAAATGCTTTAACTGCTATAATTTTAAGTTGCAAGTTTATTCTTTCAATGAACGTCTCCCCTATAACCCACATACAGGAACTAGATCAAAACTGCCATTTCTACTTAAGTACCTTCCACGTTCTAAAGAAGAAATGGCTCTAGTAACGATGGGACACTGGCACAGAAAATACTTTTTAGTTTGTGGAACAGGACTTTAAACGGGACATTGTGTAGGCTTACAGAGATCACACTGGAATTAGCTCTCCTTTTCCCTTGTAGCACAGCCATTTCGTCCCTAAGTTTACGGCTCGGATTTCAAAACGCAAACAGATGTTTTTGAAGCATCCGAAATGGGCCGCTCCATTTCTATTACTGTACCATGGTGACTCTGAATTATTTTCTGTTCCGAACCTGCAAAGGGCAGAACCCCATCCCTTTGTCGTAAAATTTCCAAGTGGGGCAGCACACTTTAGGAGTTTCCAAAAGTGGCTGGTGACGTTCGAGGCCAGGCCATTGGGGGAGTCGGGGCTCGATGGGAGCAATCTTGAGGGCAAGAGAGCTCAGAGATTTCCAAGCCCTGAGCTCGAGCTTTCCACGTGCCCCATCTAGTCGGTCCCAGGGGAGTTGGTGGTTGCTATAGTAGTTAGAGGGTTGTTGCTTTTCGCAGCCCCGAGAGGTGGGACGATGGACTTGGTGCATGGGGGGGGGGAGAGGTGGGGGTGCACTGCGGCTGGGCGCCCTCCGAGCCTCCAGCTGACTAGCACCGAGGGAGGCATGAGGCTACGGCTGCAACCTCGGCCCGAACCCGCGAGCCAGCGCCTCCAACTGGCGTCGCGCCCACCTCGTCCTTCCGATGGGGGCCAGCCACGCCGGGCCTCGCCGCCATACCCAGACGAATGGGGGTGGGGAGAGGCCTTGGCAGAGCTTGGCCTCAGGATCCGCGTCCCGGTGGAAGCTCAGCAAAGGGGAAGCCGTCCTATTGGCCTCTCCTCTGTCGGGGTCACGGGAAATACGCGGTAATCACCCAAAACCCCGCTCTCAAAGGCGAGACTGCTGGGCCGCCGGGACGGTTTGAGGACTGGGCTCGGCCGGGGAGACACCAACCTTCACCCTCCGCGGCCCCCAACCCAACTCCCCGCCGTCTCCCGGCGCCGCCACTTCAGGCAGCCCACTCGGCCCGGCCTCTCCCCGCGCCCGGACCACCCCCCATGGGGTGCTCTCACTGCGCAGCGAGTCCCTCCGCTGCCTCCTCCCAGCCCAAAATGGCGGCGGCGGCTACCGGGCTGCTCGTCGCCTTCCTCAAGGCTAGGGATCACTCCGCGCGTAAGCCCCGCCCCTCTCAGCCGGATCTATTTTCCTCCCTGGTAAAGGCTAACGCCATCAATGAACTCTTTAATTGAGTTCTGACAGGGCGGGTCCAGTTGTGCTTCCGCACAGCTAGTTGTTGACAAAAGTGAGAAGATTGGCAGACAAGTGACCCAATCAAAGAAGAGATCGGTGAGCGCGGGACGTCCACCCAAAAGCGGATAGGTTTCGGTGTCCCTGGGTAATGGTTGTTGACGTAAGGGAGCTTGAAGGTATCCTGGGCAGCTTTCCTAGAGTGGAAGAACTACAACCCCCAGCAGTCATTGCGCTGCCAGGCTGTCCTCTTCGTCGTCCCCCCTCCCACCTCCCCCCATCTTAGTGCCTGAGCGGCTTGGCCAGAGCTGCTGCTACTGCAGCAAGAGGTAGGGCTGAGGCGTTGAGAATTTCATGGACAGGCGGTCGCACAAGAAAGACACACAGAGGTAGTGGTGTACACTAAGCCCTTGACAGCAAATAGGTCAGTCCCACCTTTGCTAAAACCTCCCTTCCATGACTATTTTCCCCCTTCCAAGAAATCAATGCTTTATCCCATTTGATTTTCCCTGTCAGCTGCATGTAGTATGAAGACTTATTTTCTCCATTTCCCCGTTCCTTGAGGCAGGAGGGTAGCAGTCCAGGCCCTGTAGACAAAAAGACTTAAACTGTAGGTCCTGCCCAGGTCCCAGCCTGGAGAGGGTGAAGGCAGTCAAGATAGGGGCTTCCAGGAGCCACAGACCCACCCCAGCCCCAGCTTCCCCAAGCAGTTTCCTTTGCACCTTAGGCCTACCTTCCTAACTGCCAGCCTGGTCTTCACTAGTTAGAATGGAGGCCTGGGGCCCAGGGAACAGGACTGGAGAGAGAAGTCTCTCCATCCTGTTTGGCCTCTTGCTGGCTGGAGGTGTGAAAACTAAGGTATGGAAGCAGCCTTGGAGTCTTCATTTGAAAGTGAAGACTGGCAGGTCTGGGGCCACAAAATGGCTGCTGCTACTGCTTGCTGCTGCTGCTGCTGGGGCAAATAGTTCCTGACCAACCGGGTTCTGCCTGAGGACTTAGGTTTCTGTTGTTGTTCAAAGCAGGTGTCACACTAATTAAAAGCATCTACTGAGAGAGTAGGAGAAGATGGCCACTCTGAACCATACCAACTGTAATACAGAGGCATCAGCTGCCCCGGAGGAGGCAAAGGTAAGTACCTACCCCTCCCAGCCGCCTGAAAGCTCCAAACATGGGGTCAAAAAGCTGAAATCCTAGTTTCTTGTTTCAAATGTGCTGGTAGGTTTAGAAAACCAGTATCTTATTTTATTTCTGTTGTTTGTGATGAGGGTGGGGGTGGGCTTTCTACATGTCCCCAGCTGGCCTTGAACTTGCAACAGCACTCTTGCTTCAGCCTTACAAGTGCTAAAGTTACAGCCCGCATCACCACACCCGGCTAGAAAGCCTGTGTTTTAAATGAGTCTTGTGCTGTGCTCTGGGAAGTAGGCCAGATTGTGACTCAGTGGTATCTCATGAATTCCTAAAAGCCCTTGAAGGTAGGAATTATTTCCAGTTGACAGAAGCTAAGGTTCTGAGAGCTGCAATACCTTTTCCAGAATCATGCAGCTATAGGCGACAGAATCCCACTTGAAACTCAGTGTCTTCTGGTAAGAGAACCTTTTCTCTCACTCAGTGACAAGCAACTTCAAGGTCAAATATCTTGGTGGGATATTTGCACTTTTTTTTTTTTCCAGGCTGAGAACCAAGAATGAAACAGGAAAATAATTTTTGGTATAAAAGGAGGGAGGCCTCAAAAGAGAGGAGAGAAAGATCCTAAAACCCCCAGTAAACGGCACCTAATGTGCTGAACAGGAGCCCACAGGGTCACAGCTCATGCTGTCTCTCATTGGCCCATTTTACCTATTCTCTCATTACCCACACTTCCAAAGTATCAAAGAGGCAAGAATCAGAGAATCGTTTTGTTGTTGTTATGGACTTTGAGGTGCTGGGATTGAACCCAGGACCTTGCAAATGATAGAAAATTGCTTTATGCAGCTCTTTGTTGTTTGCTGTTTGTTTGTTTTGTTCTTTTTTTTTTTTTTCTTCCAGACAGGGTTTCTCTGTGGCTTTGGAGGCTGTCCTGGAACTAGCTCGTGTAGACCAGGCTGGTCTCAAACTCACAGAGATCCACCTGCCTCTGCCTTCCGAGTACTGGGACTAAAGGCGTGCACCACCAGCCCCCCGGGCGTTGAGACAGGTTTTTTTTCTGTGTAACAGGCCTGGCTGTCCTGGAACTGGCTTTGTAAACCAGGTTGGCCTCAAACTTACAGAGATTTGCCTTCCTCCACCTCTCAAGTGCTGGCATTATATGTTTGTCACAGTGTCTGGCTCAGAGAGGCTTTTGACCCATCCTACCTATTTCCAGGGTTTCTTAGACTTTGAAACTCATGGCATGCCAACCTAGAAGGATTGGAGAGGGCATGTGACTCATGCAGATTATAGAGCTTTTCTTTTTCTTTTTCTTTTTCTTGGCTTTTCAAGACAGAGTTTCTCTGTGTGGCTTTGGAGACTGTCCTGGCACTCGCTCTGGAGACCAGACTGGCCTGGAACTCACAGAGATCCGCCTGCCTCTGCCTCCCGAGTGCTGGGGTTAAAGTCGTGCGCCATCACTGCCCGGCTAGAACTTATTTTTCACAGTGATAATGGTCGTAGAGGGCAGCATGGAGACAGTAGGTAAGCTGAGAGACAGCTGGTTTGGGGCAAGAATCACTAAAGGACTGAGGGCTGGGAACAGGTAAATGGTTGTCAACATGCAAGTAAGCCATCCTGTATTTGTGTGCCCAGTGCTTTGCCTATGATGGGAGACAGATCCATCTCAGTTGGCCCAAGCCACCAGCAAGACAAGGCCAGTCACTTATGATTGGGTGATATTCCCTGTAGGTGAAAGAATACAACAAACAACTCATATCTCCACTCCCCCACCCCTCCCCCCTCCAGAATTCTCCTTAGGATCTCTAAAACACATACTAAAATAAGTAGCACCATCCTTCATATGTATAATCCCAGTACTTAGGAGGGTGAGGCAGGATTGCTGAGGACTGGAGACCAGTTTGGGCTATAGAATGAGTTCCAGAATGTCCTGGGCTACCAAGTGAGACTGCTTCCCAAATAACCCTCCCTCCCCCAAAACAATCCAGCAACACTTGCATATATTCATATAATATACACCTGCTCTTAAAAGGCTGTATAAATTCCAGCATGCGGGAGTCAGAGGCAGATCTCTGAGTTTGAGGCCAGCCTGGTCTACAAAGTGAGTTCTGTGACAGCCAGTCTCAAAAACAAAAAACAAACAAAAAGCTGCAAATAGTTTGTTTCTTAAAGCAAAATCCCCTGCTCAGAGGCCAGCAAGATGGCTTAGTAGGTAAAATACTTGTACCAAGCCTGACAGCCCCTGGATTTACAGGGTAGAAAGGGAAAACCAATTCCCACAGTTATCTTCTGACTTACACACACACACACACACACACACACACACACACACACACAAAGTAATAAAACTTTACAAAGGAACCCTGCTCAGATGCCATTTGTATTGTATAAAACAACATGCCAATGATAGTGGTTATTATTAGAAATCGCCCAAACCACAAACTTGGAGCAGTTCATTCTTTATCAGCCACACCCAGGACTCCCACCCTCACCACACAGCTACACTCTTGCTCCCTCCTCCTCTCCTCTCCCAAGGTCCTTGTGTAGCTCTGGCTGTGCTGGAACTTGACAGGCTGGCCTCAGACTGAGAGATCTACTTGCTTCTGTCCCGTAGTGCTGAGCTTGACAGATTCTCTCTACTTCAGAGTTCCAAAATTTCCTTACAACCTCTCCTTGGTTAGGACCTCTTGGTGCTTCTCACATAGAGAGAGAAACAAATTCATGCCTACTGAGCTTAGGGGTAATATGGCATATTCTCAGGGGGTGAAGAGAGATGATAAATAGCAATATGCTAGGTGCTCTCTGTGAGGTCACCTGTGTGACATGATAGAGTAGCTGGGGAGGGGATTGAGGAGAGGAAGGAGAGCCGCTTTAGGGTCTTCGTGGGGAGCATCACCTAATGAGCAACGTTAGGTTAGAACTGAAGCATGGGGAATAGAGAAGGGTCAGCCATACAAAGAGCTGACAGTAGGTTTAGTTATATAATTTTCAGGGAGGGGGCAGGGAATCCCTGTTCAAACCCTGGCCTGGTAACACAGGCCTATAATCTTAGCTACTCTAGAGGCCGAGGCAGGTGGATTGTAAAATCAGGACTCGCCTAGGTACAGAGTGAGACTATTTCAAAACAAAAGTTAAAGGGCTAGAATGTAGCCCTTTGAGACTGGCTGCTGAGCATGTGTGAGAGACTCTGGCTTCGATAAAAGTATTGAGTTCAGAGCTAGTAATAGTGTCATATACCTGTTATTGATCCCAGCTACTTGTGAGGCTGAGGCAGGAGGATGGTGAGCTTGAGGCTAGCCTGAGTTACAATAGGAAGACCTCAGTTTCAAGGACAGCAGAGCATTAAATCAAGTATGAATCCCTTCTGAATGTGGGTACCTGTGAAGGTGTTCGGGTAGCCCAGGCTGTCCTTGAGCCTGTCTTGAAGTCCTGATCCTACTGCCTCACCTCCTCCCTAACGCTGGGATCTACAGGTGCAGGCTACCACATCTAGCTTTTCCAGCTTTCATTTAATAGCACTTGTGGGATGCCTACTCTAGGTCTGGTATGGTTCTAGACATTTAAATGACCAGTGATGAGCCGGCGGGGTGGGGGGCGAAGATGGACAGACAGCAGACAGCTTCATTAATACCCAGCATGCATAAGACCCTGGTGTTTGATCCCCAGCACTGCCTAAACCAGGCTTGGTGGTATATGTCTATAATCCAGCATTCAGGAGGTGGAGGCAAGAAGATCAAAAGTTCAAGATCATCTTTTTTTAAAAATATTTATTATGTATACAACATTATGCCTCCATATATGCCTGCACGCCAGAAGAGGGCACCAGGTCTCATTACAGATGGTTGTGAGCCACCATGTGGTTGCTGGGAATTGAACTCAGGACCGCTGGAAGAACAGCCAGTGCTCTTAACCTCCGAGCCATCTCTCCAGCCCCAAGACCATCTTTGGTTGCACAAATGAGTTCAAAGCCAACTGGTCTATGGAGATGTTATGTCTCAAAGAAAAAAGAAATGACCAGTGACAGTGAAATAGTCAGTGGAAGTGTTACTCTCCCCGCTGGAAGAGAGTTAACTAAGTAGATTGTAAAAGGTTGAGGGACTGCATGAGGCAGGTGTGAGAGGGCTGTGTGGGCTGGGAAGGACCCCCTTCCCAGGGAGAGGCAATCTGTGATTCACCCTCCTTCCTCTCTCTAGACCTCTCGTTGCCCGCCGAGCCCCCAGACAGCCCATGAGCCTCGTGACTTTGGTGGTTCCTTGCTTCTGCCATTAGAAAAGGAGATTCACTCAGAAGATGAAGGTATTGCATCGGCTGGGGTTGGCTCAGGTTGTAACAATAGAGGTCCTCGGACCCAGAGCCCACGGTGCTGTTCAGTGGAGGCAGTGCTGGCCCGAAAGAAGCACCGAAGGCGGCCATCAAAGCGCAAGCGCCACTGGCGGCCTTACTTGGAGCTGAGCTGGGCTGAGAAGCAACAGCGAGATGAGAGACAGAGCCAGAGGGCCTCCCGGGTCCGTGAGGAGATGTTCGCCAAAGGCCAGCCCCTGGCACCCTACAACACCACCCAGTTCCTCATGGATGACCGTGACCTGGAGGAACCTAACTTGGATGTGCTCCACGGGCTCTCCCACCCAGGCTCCAGTGGTGAGAATGAAGCAGGGGACAGTGATGGGCAGGGCCGAGCTCATGGGGAATTCCAGCAGAGGGACTTCTCTGAGGCTTATGAGCGATACCACACTGAGAGCCTTCAGGGCCGCAGCAAGCAGGAGCTGGTGCGAGACTACCTGGATCTAGAGAGGCGGCTGTCACAGGCTGAGCAGGAAAGTCGGAGGCTCCAGCAGCTGCAGGGGCGCCCTAGCAGACAACCCTGTCAACAGGTGGAAGAGCTGGCTGCTGAGGTGGAGAGGCTCCGGACTGAAAACCAGAGGCTCCGGCAGGAGAACGAGATGTGGAACCGAGACGGCAGCTGCTGTGACCAGGAGAAGCCAGCCACAGAAGGGATCCCCAGGCCCAAGGATGAGACCCCATTCTGTGCCCATGCAGGCCAGCTGGGTCACAAGGAGGCAGATGACAGATGAAAGCTGTTCCCCGCACCCCTCCCTCCACTGAGAACTGCTAAGACAAGGTCAGAGTTTCCCCTTGTCGTTCCCACCATTTCCACGATTGGGTCTTTGATGTCATCTAACTTTTTACAGAGGAATTAAATGGCCTTGTGAGAACCAGTGGGAGTGGCTAAACTTTCTTTTTTTTTTTTTTTTTTTTTTTTTTTTGAGACAGGGTTTCTCTGTGGCTTTGGAGCCTATCCTGGAACTAGCTCTTGTAGACCAGGCTGGCCTCAAACTCACAGAGATCCGCCTGCCTCTGCCTCCCGAGTGCTGGGATTTAAAGGCGTGCACCACCAACGCCCGGCTTAGACTTGATTTCACTAGGCCTCTTTGTGTGAGTCAAAATTCCTTTTTATTTTTAAAAGCTTATTTTTATGTGCATAGGTATTTTGCTTGCATGTATGGCTGAGCAGCACATGTGTGCAGTGCCAGTGGAGGCCAGAAAAGGGCACTGGATTCCCTTGGGACTGGAGTTACAGACAGTTGTGAGCTGCCATGTGGGTGCTGGGAACTGAACCCAGGTCCTCTAGAAGAGCAGCCAGTGCTCATAACCACTGAGCCATCTCTTCAGCCCTCTTCATTTTCTGTAGTTTGTTTGTATTTTGGAAGCATTTCTTATAGCTGGGGCTGACCTTGAACTTCTGATCCTTCTGTCTTCACCTCCCAAGTTCTGGAATAACAGATGTGCACAACTATGTCTGGTTTTGGTTGTGCTGTGGATTCAAGGCAGGGATGCATGCTAAGCTAGAATTCTACCAACTGAAGCACATCCCCAGCCAAAATCCTTCGCTTCGGGCTGAAGACTTGATGAGTCAGTGGTTAAGAGACCTCACTGTTCTTTTAGAGGACTAGAATTTGGTTCCCCGCACCAACAGGTGACTCAGAACTGTTTGTAATTCCAGCTCCAGAGAATCTAATGCCCTCTTCTGATCTCTGTGACATGCTTGTGTTCCTGTGCGCGCTTGTGTGCGCACTCTCCCACCCCCCAACGTATGTATATATCGTATTGTGCATGTACACGCATAAATACAAAATCTTAAAAAAAACAAAACAAAACAAAAAACCACAAGAAAACTTGTGGGCTAGGGTGGTAGCACATTTGCCTAGCATTTTGGAAGTATGGAGTAAGCTAAGCCCATTGTCCCAGAGAGGTCTCAGTTTCTCCTTGCTCCAAGCCTGAGGACACAGCCAACTCCTTGATGGGTTCCCATTGGTTCTCCAGGATACCCAAACCACACTCATGAGTCTTAGAGTGATCATCCTCAGAGAGTGGGGGGGGGTGATGACTCAGTCCAGAGCCCCCAGGTCCAGCCAGAACCTGATTTTCCAGTTGCCACATGATAGTGGAGCTGGGAGCAATGCCTGTAATTCCAGTCTTCAGGCAGGAGGATCACGAGTTTGCAGTCAGCCTGTGCTACAGAATGAGATCCTCCTTGAGGAGCTGGAAGCATCCCTGGAAGGAGAAGACTCAAGCCTGGAGTTTATTTAGACCTTGTTCCTTGTATTCCTGGATTCAGCATCCTTGATCTTGACAGCCCCTCACCTTGGCAGCTAACCTAAGCTAGTCATTCTAGTTCATCCCCTTACTTCTGGGAGGGACATTAAGAAGTAAGCACTCAATATCCACTGCTGGCAGAGAAAGCCATCAGGTAGAGGGGACATCCAGGGGATCTTTAGCAGGGCTTTTCTGCTGCCTCCCTTGGCATCCTCCTTCTGTTGGCCTAATTGTGTGATCACAAGTGTGAGCCATAGGCCCGACTCCAGGATGCAGTGGTGGGGGTCAGTGAAGGGAATGCAGTGTGCCTCTATCTCCAGGTACCATCCCTGTGTCATCTCTGGCTGGTACTGGGGATAACTTCAGTGGTGACAGGGAATTTAGCTCACCAGTGAGCCCCTGTCTCTGGCACCAGGCACAGGGAGGAGCAGAAACCTTGAGGACCTAGCTGACTTTCCTTTCCAAAGGTTTGGAACAACCGTATCAGGCAAGAGAAGGGCTCAGGGCTGGGAACTGTTAGGGATGGAAATGTTGACAAACCCTGTGTATTGCCAGGACAACTTTTATTTCTGTACTGCCACACCCAGGCCTGGCCAGCACCTTCTACAACAGACTGAAGGGAGGGATTGGTTTCAAGGGAAAGCAAAGTCCCAGGCCAGGGGTCTCTCCCCAAAACTCTGATCAAAGGTTTTGCCTCCTTCTCTTGCATTTTTCATTCCCAGACTGTTGTCAGCAGGAATGATTGTCTCCACTTTGCAGATGGGGAACTCAAGGTTCAGAGAGGAAGTGACTGTCCAGACTCTAGGATAGCTTGCCAGGAGCCTGCAGTATACTAGCCTGGGACCCAAGGCCTGCAGTCTCCCAGCTGCTGCATTCCACAGAACAGAGCCTGGAGCAAGCTGAGGGAGGACCAGGACAAGGTTGTTTACCCAGAGGCAAGGCTGTGTGTGTGTGTGTGTGTGTGTGTGTGTGTGTGTGTGTGTGTGTGTGTAAAACAAGGAGGGGAAGAAAGGATTCCCAAGGGCTGCTGGTGTGTGGGGGGGAGGTTTGTGGAGCAGGGTGTGGGGTGGTCCATGTGTGGCATGATTGCAAGTTGCTGGCCTAGGGGCAGGTGAGGAGGCTGGCCTCTCTTGGTCTAAGACCTGAAGAGCTGAGGAGTGTGAGGGAGGGAGGGAGGCTGCCAGCCACCTCCACCCCTTACTTACACACAAAATGGCTGAAGGGCTCTTGGCCAGGATAGCACAGAGGTGAATTAATTTCCCCAGGGCTTGGGGGGGGGGGGTGAAAATGGACAGGGTGGAGCAAGAAGAAAACAAAGCAAAGGGTGTAATCTGGGAAAGGGTCAGGCCTGAAGAAAGTCATGTCAGCTCTGGCCTCCAACTGGTTCCCCGATCTCAGAGTCAGCAGTGTCAGGAAAGGAAGCCATCTTGTTGAGAGCTTGGTGCTGGGGAGAGGTGGAGGCCAGGTGTGAGTCCCTTTCATGTACCCCCACTTCTGTTCTCTCTTTGGCAGCCAGGTCTGGAGGCCTGGCTTCTCTATCCCAGTGTACAGCTCAGGCCACTTCCTCACCGCCACAGCTAGGGAAAAATGGCTTTCAGAGCAAAGCTCGGTGGCTTACTCCCCTGTGACCTCTTGATTACTGAGCCAGGAGAGGCCCATCCTTCATGGGACTGATTGTGGAAGCCTCCCACCATGCCTGCTTGCCTGCCTGGCCAGATCTCTCTCTCTCCCTCTCCTCTCTCTCTCAGGGACTCTGATCTCAGGTGGCAATTTTAGTACCAATAGGCAGACCCTTCCTGCAGTGGGATCAATTATAAGAGGTAGTAGTGAAGGGACCAGGGTAAAGGGTGAGTCTAGAACCAGCATCGTGGACGTAAAGGAACTAACTCAGTGGGATAGTAGCTGGTTCTGTTGTCTCTCTTGAGAACAGCAAGGTTGGCACTGGCCCTTTAAGTGGGGGTGCCAGCCAGTGCCCTCCCCCAGCCAACCCAATTCATGGGCACACTGAGCATGTGCAAGTTCTGTACAAGTGAGGAGGGGAGGGGGGATAGATTCCGGAGGGAGCTTCCCACCCCCTACTTCCTGTGCTGCCCCCACTCTCTCTCCTTCCTGGGTCTGACAAAGGAGCCCATGGTGCTCCCTCAGTCCCTTCCCCCACCCCAAACTAGGGGGCGCTGCCCTTTGGGTGTGCTGAGCTACCAAGGGTTCTGGGCAGGCCCTTTGGTCTTGGGAAGTCTCCCCAGTGCCTGGAGGTGGTGAGTGCCAGCCTGGCTTCTCTGGTGTGGGCAGTGGCCAATCTTCTGCTGCGGAACGTGTTGGATTTCATTCCATCAGTGCCAGGTTTTTTAAGAGAACCCTGTGATGTTGCTCTGGAAATGAAACGCAGAGAAAAGGGTGAGGCCCCTGCCCCCACCCTCCAGGAGCTTCCAGTCAGGGAGGGAAGCAGACACCTGGGGTTCTGCTTAGAGCCAATTAGCCTGGTCCAGAGGATGGAGCCCGGCTTCCTCCACCTGCAGCTTCCAGCATCCTCCCCTGCCATGGAGAAATCTCCCCCGAGTGTCCCCAGAACCTCCAACTTGTTTCTGTAGCATCCTCAGACCTCAGTTCCTCCTGGGCGCCTTTCTCTAGTCTTCTAACGCTAGGCACCATTCTCTTTTGTTACTACGAAGGGAAAGCAGGGATGTAGCTCAGTTGGTGGAAGGCTCACTTAGTGGTCATGAAGCCCTGGGGTAGATGCTCAGCAGCACATAAGCCTGGCTACAGTGGCTGACTTCTTGTAAGGATTAGAGGTCAAGGTCAGCCATCTCAGTGTAAAACCTTGTCCCTAAAAACCAAAGGTGGGGGGCCAGAGAGATGGCTCAGTGCTTAAGAGGGGTTCCTGCTCTTTCAGAGGACCGAATTCAGATCTCAGCACCCATGTTGAGTGGGTCGTCGCTGTCTGTACTTCAGCTCTGGGAGAGTGATTCAACACTCTCTTCTGGCCCCTGTGGGTACCTGCACACATGTGCTCTCTCTCTCTCTCTCTCTCTCTCTCTCTCTCTCTCTCTCTCTCTCTCTCTCTCTCTCTCTCTCTCTCTCTCTCTCTCTCTCTCTCTCTCTCTCACACACACACACACAGAGAGAGAGAGAGAGAGAGAGAGAGAGAGAGCGCAAAAATACTTGGTAAATTTATATAACATGAAATGTCCTATTCAAATGAGCAGTTCAGTAGTTCAGTGGCATTTCCATTCCTAATGTATGCACCCCAGCACCCCACTATCATCTGATTCCATAAAGCTAAAATGAAGGCCCAAAGCTATTAAGCAGTTATTTTCCACCCCAGACCCCCATTTCTTAGTCAGCCCTGAAAGCCACACACCTGCTTTCTGTGCCTGTGAATTTCCTCAGCCTAGATAGATTCTCAAATGTCTATAGCCATACCACCTTGAACATGCCAGTCACTTCCCCAGTACATCTAGGCAAGAGACTGGATGCCCATACCCAAAGTGTGCTCTCCCTGAGGGTGCTGTTAAAGGAGGAGCACTGGACCAGGAGTCCTCAGAGCCTAGATTGATTCCAGTTACAGTCACAAGGACTACTTTTCTTATGTGTGAGGTGCAGGCAGGAGTTTCAGCCCAGGCTGAGATCCTGGACTCTCTTGGCAAGGCTCTGCTGCCTAGCTTAGGAAATATATCCCCCATCTTTTATCCTCCTGGGTCCTTACTGCAAGTTCAGGCAGTGAGTATGGCCTCAGGGACAGTGTGATTCATAACATAAGGTTTGGGGTCAGTCACTTGAGATGAGGAAGGCTTAGTGCAGAGAGGTTGAGAAAGCTGTTTAAGGCCACACCATGGAGGGGAAGGGGTAGCTGGGGTTGTAGGCAGTTTTTTCTGGTTATAGCTTGAGCTCTTGACCACTGTGTTCCCCTTCTTTAAAAAGAAAGCAAGTTAAGGGCTTAGCCGAGGACCAGCTGTGTGGGCAGTGTTTTAATGGAAGAGCCCATACACTTTACTACTCTCTGGGCCTTGCGTAATCATAAATAGCCCCATTCCAAAGTGGTTCTTGGGAGTTCTTCTCACTCCCTCAGTCTCTTATCTCTTCTAGAAGGTTTCCCCTTTGCCCGAAATACTGGCCTCTGAGGAGCTGGGAGGTGCTGCCTGAACTAGAAGGCCAAGCCTTCCTGCAGGTCAGGGTGGGAATCACAGGGGATATTTCTGTCCTCCCTCCAATTTTCCCATAGCCCAAAATCCATCCCCTTAGCCCAAACAGAGAGTTCCTTGTCAACCTTGTGGATCTGCACAGGCTTGCCTGGTAGAGGACAAGCTGAGCAGCTGGTCCCCAGTTGGCTACTGAATCCCAGCTGCCTGTGCTCTTGGACATTCCAGAGACCACTTGCCTCTGGGACCATCTCTGGAACTCATCCAAAATGGTCAGCCCTCAAGGCACCTGCCTTGGGCAAGGAAGGTGGGTTCATCTCCTGCTCCCTTCTAGACCCAGTGGCTCCAGGAGGACATCACTAAAGAGATTAGTGTGGGGAGGACACAGACCTGCTAGGCCTCCAGCCTGCTTCTGCCATAGCCCCAGCTTTCACAGAAGGAGGGAAAAGAGTCTGTATAATTTCAAATGGCTCCTGCTCTTTCCAGGCTCCCTCCCCAGTGTCCTGAGGCTCTGTGACTCCTTTGCCTCATTGGGAGGATCCAGACAGGTTGCCTCAGGTTTTGTCAGGAGCCAAGCCCTTGTAGTTGTGTGGTTGGGCTGGCCAGCTCCACACTGAAGATTACTAAAGGAACCCCCCTGCCCCCACCCCTGACACACAGACCTCACTGCCCTTTAGCGCTACATGCCTGAGGGCCCGTGACAAGGAAGCAGAGTGGGAGATGTCCCCTCAGTTTTCCATGGGTCTAGTCCTCCATTTCTCCTCCCCTGAGAAAGGGTTTCTCTTTTTCGGGGTGCCTGAACCAGCCACCCTCACCCTGACACTCACACAGAGTGTGTCATAGCCCCAGGCTCACCGCACCCCTCACACAGGCTCTCCCTATGCACCTAAGCTACTTTGTCCTCCTAGGCAGTTTTTCAGTTCAGGGTTTCAGATTCAGAATGACATTTGCACAAACACTTGTATTTTTCTAACTGCTTATACAGTTGGGACCCTATCACTGTTGGAAAGTCTTTTCACTGTTATTTGAAATTCCTTGTTTCTCATAAACCTTTTGTTTTTTTTCTTATTATTTGTTTGTATATTATTATTATTATTATTATTATTATTATTACTTTGTTTTTTATTTTTTGGTTTTTCGAGGCAGGGTTTCCCTGTGGCTTTGGAGGCTGTCCTGGAACTAGCTCTTGTAGACCAGGCTGGTCTCGAACTCACAGAGATCCGCCTGCATCTCCCTCTCGAGTGCTGGAATTAAAGGTGTGCACCACCAGCGCCCAGCTTGTTTTTTTTTTTTTTTTAAGACAAGGTTTCTCTGTGTAGCCCTGGCTGTCCTGGAACTCACTCTATAGACCAGGCTGGCTTTGAACATCAGACATCAGAAATCCACCTGCCTCTGCCTCCTAAACTCTGGGATTAAAGGCATGCGCCATGGCCACGATCAGCTAATGATGACTTCTGCTTCTGAGGTCAGGGGCCTCTGGACTGGGCGTTTCCCCAGGCCTTCTATGAAAGGCATCCAGCAAGCAAGCGCTGTGCATTGCACGGAACAGCATCAAATCTTGCTTTCTCTGCCCCGTTAGCACAGACCCAAAGGGGCACATTCCCATGCTCCTGACTGGCCACGAAGCCTGCCAGTGAGGAGATGCCATATGTCACCAGGTATATAGCAGCACTGTGTATTTATTCAAGAGTGATACACTGGATGTATCTGTGTCTCAAGGTGGCTGCAACTGAAGACCCGCCTCCAGCTTAGAACAGGAGAGAATTAATCAACTGTTTCCCACT